TAGTTTCGAAATTTTAAAAAACACATAAGGGGGGACCCTTATGTGATTTTTTTCGACCAAAAAAATTTTTTTGCGAGTTTTTCGATCTTTTTTGATCAGACAGACAAACAATCCGAAATACGAAAAAAAAATGGAAAAAATTATATTGAGAGCTCAAAATTTGGCTCAAAAACACAGAATTTTTGACACCGGGCCTTCCGGGCCGGGCCCGGGCCTTGAAAATTTCCTCAGGCCCGGCCCGGCCCGGGTCCGGGCTTTGGCGGGCCGGCCCGGAATTTTACAAGTATGCTTAAAGGTGGGGGGACAGGAGATTTTTCGTAGTTTTTTTGTAGCTAGAGTATGCATTCTACCGTGACGGTGTACAACGCTTAATGTCACTCTGCGTACAGCTGTCGTCCTCGCCTTTATGTATGCAATCGGGAGTGCGCTTTCTCTTTGCCCGCGTGGCTCAGTCGGTAGCGGCGCCGCACCCCCATTCCTCGTCCTCACAAGTTCAACTCCTCGAGGGGCATCTTTGAACGGAATTTCGAGAACATTTTCATTTCCCCCCACCTTTAAACCGTCACAATTTGACATCGTTTTGTAGAGCTTGTCGAGAGCTACAGTACGCATTTTAAATCGATTCGAAACATCGATTTTGAGAAGAGTTATGGGCTCCAAATGATGCTAAATTCGGTATCATTTTGTAGCCGCCCTCTTCTTTAGCTCTATCTTTCTCAACTGGAATCGCTTGGAAATTTCCAATTTTTCGAGGAGAAATTTGAAAATTCGGAAAGCAAAGATAAGGGTTCCAGAGCCAAATTTGAGGCTCAAAATGTTCAAAAAGTATCCAAAAACGTCCCGCAGAACAAAATTTCAAGCTTAAAATCGCTCCAAATCCGTTGCTAATGCTGCTGGGAGCCTCTAGATTCGCCAAAAGTGGGCAGACAATCCAAAAGAGCCCCAAATCTTGATTAGGCTGCTCCAGAAACCTCCGGAATCGCTTCCAACAAATTCAGGATGCTTCAGCAACTCTCCAGAAGCTCCAGATGCCAAATTCGGTATCATTTTGAAGCTCTCCTCAAGCTCTACCCTATCCAACTAGAATCGCTCCCTATTTTGATCTCCGATCACTCCTCATTGTCCCCGGAAACGACGACTACTACTACCGCCCAACAACACATCAAGTGATTAGAAATCACCTTTTTCTCCTTTTTCTTCTCCTAGTACACAAAACAATCTCTTCTCTTCTCCTTGTAACCCCAAGAAGACCAAGAAGACGAAAGAAGGCGTGTCGTTCTTCTTCTTCTTCTTCTCCTTTTCAGAGATTCAGATGAGAGGGAGAGAGAGAGAGCGACACACCCAAAAATTCCTCTCCATTTTTTTTCGTTGTTTTTTCGACGAGTCAAGCTATTTCCACATATAAAAATGTGTGTTCGAAAAAACGATGAAAAATGGACAGAATTGGCCCAAAAACCACACCAAACATGTTGAAAAATCATAGAAAAAAATGGCCTAGAACGGTCGAAAAGGAAGAGGAATTCGTCATCTATTTCAGGGTGTGTGAAGAGAGGAATTTGATAAAAAAAGGGGTCAATTTTGAAGTACTTGGAAGCATACTTGTAATCCGGGCGTTTGCCGGGCCTTCGCGGGCTCTGCCATAATTTCTCTCAGAATCGATATTTTCGAACCAACTCAATCAGATATGATAGAGCTCTACGAGTACTACAAAACGGTATTATTTGGAGTACTGTATCTTATCTATAAACAAAGTTACAGATCATAAAGTGGCTTTTCTCGCAGGGCACGGCTGCTTTTTTGTTCCTTTTGCTCCGTAACTCTGTTCATAGATAAGATACAGTATTCCAAATAATACCGTTTTGTAGTACTCGTAGAGCTCTATCATATCTGATTGAATTGGTTCGAAAACATGGATTCTGAAGGAATTTATGGCAGGGCCCGCGAAGGTCCGGATTACAAGTATGCTTGGAAGTGTTAATACCAATTTTCGACTCAAAAACGGGACCAAAATAGGTATAATATGGATCCGCTGGGTTCGTTTTTGGGCCGCTTGGGCTTCATTTAGAGTTAAAAACCTCGATTTTTCGCTCAAAAAGTCCCCACAAAACTTCAAATTTAGCGTTAAAAACTGAAAATTAAAAATTCACACACACACACAGCAAACAGCAAAAATATGAAAACTAAAGCTGAGCAATAAGCTAGGAAGGAGGGAATTCAAAATAGATATCGTTAAGTGATAAGCAGGCGGTACTATACCTGTGATTTTCTAATAAAAAATAGCATTTTTTGATGGAAGAAATGGACCAAAAATCACATTTTTAGCCCAATTTTCATGAATTTCCAGTCGAAAATTCCTTAAAAATCCGCTTTTGGGGTCAAATCTTTGATTTTCAGAGTCTTTCCAGGCTTAAAATCACCCATTTTCGACGAATTTCGAGTCGAAAATTGCTATTGAAACGATTTTTGGGGGTCAAAAACTCAATTTTTGATAGTTTAGACTGAAAATCCTCAAATTTCCGAGCTTTTTCAGGCTCGAAATTCCCCCATTTTTGAATCTGAAATTTCTGAAATGCCCGCATTTTCCACATGTTAATAGCTTGGTCAACAAAAAAAAGGACCTGTGAGGAGGAGGATTTGTGCATAGAGCCACTCATTTGCTGTTCGTGTTGAGACTCCATCAGAAGACGTTGTCTGATAACTGAGACCTGGAAATTGAGGATGATCGTCCAGATGAGGCCGAGTGTCAGTTTTCCGTTTCCTTCGACAATGTCCTCGGGTCGAATGTTCACCAGTTTGATCTGCAAATTTTTGCGAATTTTCGAATTTCAGCACTTAGCAACTATAAGACAGATTTACGAATTTTGAGGAGATTCGTGAAATACGAAATTTTGGAAATTCGGAATTTTAGATTCTCTTCAGAACTTCAAAAATTCGAATCTTCGATATTCGGGATTAGGCATTAAAAGAAAAGTAATTTCAGAATCACATGTTTCCAGAATTCAGAATCTCGAAACTTGAGAATCTCAGACTTTCAGATTTTTAGAATTTCGAAATTACAGAAATTCAGACTGTCGGAACTATGAATTCTAGATTGTCTGAATTTCAGAATTCCAAATTTCAGCACTTCTAATTTCAGATTTTCGGATTTTCAGGTTTTTAAAATTCCGATCATCGGATTTTTTCAAAATTCCTAATTTTCGGATTTTCAGAATTTCGAATTTCAGCAGTTTAGAATTTCGAATTTTTCAGAATTACAGACTCTCGGAATTTCCTCATTTTCCAGCATAAAATCTGCCTGACTTAGATTTCCCCTGTTTTTTTCCACAAAATTTCTAATTTCAGATTTTCACAATTCCTCAAATTCTCGAAATCTCAGAATATGAACAATTCATACTTTTCAAATTTTGAATTCAGAATTTCCAGAATTTTCAATTTTTTCAGAATTTCAGAACTTCTAAATTCAGATGTTCAAGACTGCGAATTTTCAGAATTTCCGATTTTCAGAATCTCAGAATTTCAGTGCTTCTAAATTCAGATGTTCAAGACTGCGAATTTTCAGAATTTCCGATTTTCAGAATTCTCATATTTCCAGAATTTCAGTTTTTCAGGTTTTTGAAATTCCGATTTTCGGATTTTTCAAAATTCCTGATTTTCGGATTTTCAGATATTCAGAATATCTCACTTCAAACTTCAAAATTTCAGAATTTTTTTTTGAGTTTTACAATTACAGAATTTCAGACTACGATTTCATATTTTCAGAATTTCATATTTCCAGAATTTCAGAATCTCGAAATTCCGAAATCTCAAAATTTCAGAATTTTCGATTTTCAGAATCTCAGAATTTCAGTACTTCTAAATTCAGATGTTCAAGATTCCGAATTTTCAAATTTTTCAAAATTCAGAATTTCAGAATTTCAGAATCTCGAATTTCCGGAATCTCAGATTTTCAGATTTTCCGATTTTCAGAATTTCAGAATTTCAGTACTTCTAAATGTTCAAGATTGTTGTTCTTCAGATGTTCAAGATTCCGAATTCCCAGAATTTCAGATTTTTGAATTTTCATATTTCCAGAATTTCAGAATCTCGAATTTCAGAATCTCAGAATTTCAGTACTTCTAAATTCAGATGTTCAAGATTCCGAATTTTCAAATTTTTCAAAATTCAGAATTTCAGAATTTCAGAATCTCGAATTTCCGGAATCTCAGATTTTCAGATTTTCCGATTTTCAGAATTTCAGAATTTCAGTACTTCTAAATGTTCAAGATTGTTGTTCTTCAGATGTTCAAGATTCCGAATTCCCAGAATTTCAGATTTTTGAATTTTCATATTTCCAGAATTTCAGAATCTCGAATTTCCAGAATTTCAGATTTTTGAATTTTCATATTTCCAGAATTTCAGAATCTCGAATTTCCAGAATTTCAGATTTTTGAATTTTCATATTTCCAGAATTTCAGAATCTCGAAATTCCAGAATTTCAGATTTTTGAATTTTCATATTTCCGGAATTTCAGAATCTCGAATTTCCAGAACTTCAGATTTTTGAATTTCTGAATCTCAGAGAAACTCCGACTTTCAGATTTTTCAGATTTTAAGAATTTCCAGAATTTTCAAAGCCAAATCTGGACCATTTTCAGTCAAATCTGGACCATTTTCAGCTAAATTTGGACAATTTTCAGTCAATTTTTGACCATTTTCAGCCAAATTTAAACTATTTTCAGCCAAATCGGGACCATTTCCAGTTAAATTTACACAATTTCAGTCGATTTTTGACCATTTTCAGCCAAATTTTTCAGATTTTCAGCCAAATTCGGACCATTTTCAGCCAAAGTTGGACCATTTTAAGCCCCAAAATCCCCCAAAAAGCCTCACATTCTTCTTCTTCAAAAAGTCCAGACAGTACTGCACATTTTGAATACGGTGGAATCGTGTGAATCCGTTCTCCTTCTGAATTCGTTCGCCAGTCAGTGCTTCTAAAAGTGCAATCAGTGCATATCCGTCGCGGAGGTCCACAAACAAATCCTCCACTTTTTGACCCGTCTGCAAATTACAGTAAAATCGCATTTTCAGTCAAAAAATATTGGAAATTTCAGCTCTAAAATTTGACGAAATTCAGAGATTTTAGCTTTAAAATATCGATTTTCAGCCAAATTTCAGCCTTTTTACGCTCTAAAATATCGATTTTCAGCTGTTAAAAACGGCTGGATATTTGAAATTTGAGCCATTTTCAGCAGAAAAATTCGGCATTTTCTCGTCAAAAATGGCAATTTTCAGTCGAATTTTAGTCATTTTAAGCACTAAAATATCGATTTTCAGCCAAATTTTTTAGATTTTCAGCCAAATTTGGACTATTTTCAGCCGAATTTTAGCCATTTTAAGCTCTAAAATATCGATTTTTAGCTATAAAACGGCTGGAAATCTGCAATCTTAGCTTCAGATTCGGCATTTTTTCGTCAAAAATCCCTCAATTTTTCAATTTTTTGCTCCAAATTTCCAAATTTCCAAGTTTCCAACCCCGAAAAAAATCTCAAAATTCAATATTGACATTTCAGATAACAAGATGGATGCTAGGAATTTTTTTCCAAGGAAAAAGCGGGGGAAAATGTTAAAAGTATACTGTAAACATGGAATTCCCAGTGATGTTTGGTCTTTTGGAGGGATTTTCAGCCAAATTTGGATCATTTTAAGCCAAATTTGGATCATTTTAAGCCAAATTTGGATCATTTTAAGCCAAATTTGGACCACTTTCAGCCGAATTCGGATTATTTTAAGCCAAATTTTTCAGATTTTCAGCTAAATTTGGACCATTTCCAGCTAAAGTTGGACCAATTTCAGCTAAATTTGGACCATTTTAAGCCAAATTCGGACCATTTTAAGCCAAATTTGGAACAGTTTCAGCCAAATTTGGGCTATTTGCAGACAAAAAATCGAATTGTCAAACAAATTTTCATGAAAATCTGGATTTTTTCAGGATCATCTTTGAGTCAAATTTCCACTTTTTTCAGCGAGTTTAAGCTGGAAAAATGACTGGAAGTCGGAAAATTTTTCAACTTAAAAACAATCCTTTTTTCGATGAAAATCTGGATTTTTTCCAGATTTTCTGGATCATTTTCAGACAAAAATGACAATAAAAACTCGAAAAAATTACCTTTGATAAGTGCTTATTGACCCATTTGGTGAACGTCTTCTTCTGCACAGTGTCTCGCTCATCTGAAACACGGAAAATAGTAATTTTCAGCCATTTTTGTGGTCCATTTTCAGCTTATTTCAGGCAGTTTTAGCCCATTTTTCAATCATTTTGACACTTTTTACCCCATTTTCCGAAAATTTTCAACCCAAAACTCCACTTTTAAGCCATTAAATTCCAATTTCAAGGTCCCCCAGACCCCAAAAATCCCAGATTTACATTTAAAAAATCGAGATTTCCATCGAATTTCATACCCCCCCCCCAGAAGTTCACCAAAGCTTGATACCGTAACCCCTCTAATAGAATGGCCCCCCATAGATTTCAACTTTAAGCCAATTTATCTCACTGATAAATTGTTCAACATAATATCAGTAGCATTTTATCAGTTGATCACTTTTCGGTATCATTCCCGAGAACCGAGATAAAGTGGCTCTTCTATTAGGGTTACTGTAACTCTGCTCATAGACAAGCTACAGTAGCCCAAATAGCGGCATTCTGTAGTGTTCAGCGAGCTCTATCCAACATTTTATCAGTTGATCACTTTTCGGTATCATTCCCGAGAACCGAGATAAAGTGGCTCTTCTATTAGGGTTACTGTAACTCTGCTCATTGACAAGCTACAGTACTCCAATTAGTATCATTTTGTAGAGCGTTCTACAGTGCCCAACTTAGTCGATTCGAAAGTATCGATCCCGAAAGAAGCAATGGATGTTCGGTCCCTCGCATTCTTCCTTCTTCCAGCTGTCACTATTTTCCCCCAACAAAAAACCCAGACGCCAAAAATTGTCTCATATTTCCTTCTTCTCCTACCACCCATTCATGTTGCTCATTCTTCTAACAAACAAGCACAACAACAAAGGAGAATAGTCACCTTGTGTGATTCTGATTGTTTGTTAGGCTAGAGAGAGAGAGAGAGAGAGCACATGCGTACGTCGGACGGGTACTAACACAACCCATCTGTTTGCTCTCTCAAGCTTTAAGCAACAAAAAAGTGCGAAAAGGCATGCGTTGTCGGGGCGGCTGTTGGTCAAGCGCCTTTAACAGTTTTCTTGTTAGGCGGAAGGAAATTTCGAAAATCAGAGAAACTTCAAGATTTCAGAGCTCTTCTGCCTTTCATGTCAGCTAGGCTGTGTCCTATCCCAGAAGTACAATAATCCCAAGGCTATAGGCTCACTGGCTGCTGCAACCTGCTAGAAGTACCGCAATCCTGCGATTTCAGATAGGACTTCAGGCAAAGTCTCTAGACATTTTCAGGACCATCATAGGACTTAAGGATAGCTGAGCAGCCTTCCTATCCCTGAAATACCGTAATCCCCAAAGATGCTGCCTTGGACAGTCTCAAAATCCAGGACATGGACCAGTCAACAGCCATTGTCCTGATCCTTATGACCCTTAAAATGAACATTAGGCAGACTCCTGAGCCTCAAGAGTCTGATTGACTCTTCTAGGACCATCCTTCGGAATTTTAAGCTTGAAAAGCCGGAACGACGTCATTCTAGGACCGTCTTAGCCAACGATCCTGAGATTCCTAGGATCTTGGAAACGCTGAGCATCCTAACTATTGCAGAAGTACCGTAATCCCAAAGATGCTGCATGGTAGTTTCTAAAGTCATTGGAGGCAGAACCTTCCAAACTTCAACAGCTAGGATTTCGCATCTCCTAGTCTAGAAGACTTCCAGGCATTATTCGATTCTTCTGGGACATTCCGAACTTCAAAAATCTTCTGCTCTAAACCCCCTTTCCATTGTCAAGTGAGTGTCGGTCCGTTCGTTTTCTATGTGATCAGTCTGACCATATCATATTAGGGACAGAGGATTAATCTACTTGACAGTTATTCAAGGGGGGGGGGTGTCTCCCCGAAGATCATTCGGCGTCAAGTTGTTCGTGCCTGGGTTTAATAGAGAGATTAGGATCGTAATTCCAGGTCAAGAGGAATGATGAAGTTTCCCGGAAGTCTAAGAGCCGGGAAATAGAAAAAAGCCCACAATCGGCAAAGCATGGCTCCACAACCGCCTAGCTGCTCAACGGATAGCTCGCATGCGCCTTTAAACTCTCGAGATCAACTCTTCAAGAGGCTGCAAAGCTGAGCTAGACGATTGCCACCTTCGCTGAGCTTTCTGATCTATACAGTTACAACCTTCTGCCCGCTTTCGACACCTCAAAATCCCTCGCTTCCTGGGGGCGCGGGGTTTCAACGCTGAGCTAGCTTTGATCGCCAGCTCTCTGAGCTACACAGTCACCACCTTCGGTCGTGTGACCTCAAAATCCCTGAATTCCTGGCTCGGGGGCATCAAGGCTTTGCTACTGGCTCGCAAGCTTCTGTCAGTTTTTGACCCGAAAAAATCCCTCATGTCCTGGCTAAATTCCGCCTAATTATATCGCACTTTTTTCCACGCAAAGTGTCTCTGTTCACAGAGAAAGAGAGTGCGAAAAAGTAGTGTTGCTACTAATCCCCTTCCAAATGGATCGATCGAACCTTGCAATTATCTCCCTCCATTTCGATCAAAAAGGGGAACAAGACATCCATCGTTAATGAAGCGACGCACATGCCTCGGGCGGCACACTTAGAAACGATTCTCGACAGTCTGGAGGCGTGGAGGGAGGAAATTGGGTCAGGAGGAGAGCGATTTAATGCCTATTTTTGCGATTTGCCATTAAAATTGCTCCCGGAGCAGCTGAACTAGCTAGCTAAGCTAGCTAATAAGCTCCAAATCCCATTCTTAGTTCCCAGGAGCTCTAGTTTCAAAGAAAAAGCTCGGAACTTCAGAGCCCAAAGCTTTCTGAAGAAGCACTAAATCTCAGAATACAAGAACTCACTTTCAACAGACTACAGTAACCCTAAACTACAGTAACCCTAAACTACAGTAACCCTAAACTACAGTAACCAGCTACAGTAACCCTAGGGGAAGATCGCAGGCTTTTAGATAGCAAGGTTACAGAAACCTAAAATGACAAATTGGTGCACTTCAAGCTCCAGAAAATCCACAGAGCCATCGCCCAAGATCATCCGGTTTCATCGAATTAACTAATTACAGTAACCCATAGAGGTTACAGTAACCCTAACTGACAAACTGGTGCGCTTCAAGCTTCAGAAAATTTTCACCGGATTGCACAATTACAGTAATCCCAAGCCTATCGATTCCAAAAGTGCCTATTAAGCTCGTTTTTAGGTCATTTTCAGCCAATTCTAGCTCAATTTTCAGTCTTTCAGCCACCTCTAATCCTATTTTCAGCTCCAAAAACCTGGTTTATGATCCGGTGTGACACCCCTGGAACCTAACCGAAATCCCTACACAACACCTCTCTCTATCGAAATCTAGCCCCATGCTCCTAAAGTCTGCGTCTCTTTCTGTCTCTCCCTTCATCTCTAACCAACCATATATGATCTATTTGTCTGTTTTGGTCACATTTCTTTTTCTTCCTATATGATATTTGTCAACTTTTGTCCCTGTCCGTCTCTAGCTATGCTGACCCCTCGACGTGTCTCCTATTCTTTAGCATACATTAAAATGTATAGGAACCGAGACGAGACAACAGACAAACCATACTTGCG